TTAAAATGATACATTCTCTCAGTTTAAACTTTTGATCTGTGATTTGTGTTCTATTCTGAATAAAATATTAGATGTTGGCAACTCCACATCATTGCATTCAGTTTTTATTCACAATTTGTTTAGTGTCCCAACTTTTTTGGAATCCAGTTTGTAGCTGTAGACCACTTCCACCGCAGAGCCTCCTATGTTCAGGCGGGGGTAGGTGTGTTTGTTCTGTCTGAATTACACAAACATCTCCTGTTTGTGATGCATTTTAACTGACCATGAGGTAGTGCTCTGAAATATAAAAGAAGTTTAGAAAATTGTTGTTAAAACTTGAAAATCAGTCAAATCGGTTGCTCATGCAAGTATTGTCCAATTTCTGATTTCCCAAAATTAAGGAAATTGGGGCTGATAAATTGGTGCACCCCTAGTCTTAATTAATATTCTAATTTTCTGAGATACTGAATTTAGGGTTTTCATTAGTTGTCAGTTATAATCATCAACAAAAGAAATAAACATTTCAAATATATCAGTCTGTGTGTAATGAATGAATATAAAATACAAGTTTCACTTTTTAAATGGAATTACTGAAATAAATCAACTTTTTCATGATATTCTAATTTTATGAGCAGCACCTGTATTATCTGCACAATCACAACAGTTTATATTAGCCACTTCACTTCACAGAAAGCACAACGGCTCTTACCTTTAGTTCTTCTTTCTGGTCTTTTTCTTTTTTCTAGGCAGGATAGGAAGTGTAAACTCAGAGAGTCCATCAGCCGTTTGTTTACAAAAATGAGCACACAAACTGTGAAACTAATTTTCCGTTTTGCGGATTAGCGTTTTTTGCTAACTTTGAAAACCTTTAGCAGAATTAGCTTCCGCTAAATTTAAATCTGGTAAATTCAAACCCGCAATTTTTGTAAACAGTTCTCTGCACTAAAACCATACAGGAGAATGGTAATTTACACAGAACAATGTTTTACTATGGTTTGCAGTGCTAAGCTAAGCACCACCACCACCCTCACCGTGCTCGCCCCCTCATACCTACTGTGAACAACTTCTGACTCATGGTGTCAGTTTACAGACAATAACAGAGACTTTAAAAGCCAAACCAAACCACAACAAGAAAATAACATGAAAACCCAATTTTCACACTCAGAAACATTGGAAATTGTCAGAAAAAATGTTAAATCATGGCATCTGGACAAGTTTCTTTATTTTCTTTCTTTAAGTTTCATCGTAAACTATTAGAAATATTGCACATAATTCCTACCTAGCATGCTTTGCAACGCTCACACTGTCTCTGGGACGTGACTCTCTCACACATGATTTCACCCATCTTTAATACAAACTGATACATTAGATAAAGAATATTGATGATGATGCACAGCAACTTTGTAGTTAGTTTACAAAAGTAGTTAACCACAAAGAGGATCGCCCAAGTGAGTTACTTCATTATAGTAAATGACACAAGGAAGATATCCGACACACGCTGAATGCATCAATCTGCTTCAGCACAGCTTAGTTCTGCTCCACCTCTTTGGTTCCAGTGGATCGGATTAATTTCTGAAAGCCCTTCTCTGAATGGGACATGGATTACTAATAATTTATGAACCATTTTGAGTTGTTGTCATTTACAACATTGTCACACTACAGACAGTCTCACACTGTCAGCAACAGCAGTGTATGATAAAAGTTTTCGCTTTAGTGTCAGCTTCCACATTTTTATTTTATTTTTTTTATCTGTCTAGCGGTTTAGTGTTAGCAAAGCTAATTTTTAGTTAGCAAATTGGCAGTTAGCAAAACTAACTTTTTAGTTAGCTGTGCCCACCACTGCTGAACAGCATGTTGGCAACAGTGAAAAGAAGTGAAGGAGTTACTCCCTTTGACCAGAAAGAAACCTCCAACAGAACCACAACTAGGCCAAAGATGGGCAGCCATAAGCCCCTTATCCACGGGTCTTTTTGGTACTCCTATGTAACTAGTTGTGGCCGATTGCAGGATTTATCAACAATGCCTTTAACGGTGGAACCCACCCCATTTTTGGGACCTAAATCACTGAGGTCCCAGGTCTGGTTCTTTTAGGGTCTAGTTGTGACATCAGCGCACTGTAGGTCACTGATTGGTCAGGGGGCGTATTCATTGGTGGAGGGCGGAGATTCAGTCTTCCACCGGAAATCACAATCCACCATTTTCTTTTTCACCCGCATAACAGACAACAAGAAATCGGAGGAGCTTATTTTGGAATATTTTATAAGGTAAAACAAATAATCATGGCACAACCGTGGTCGAATGCTGAAGTTCAGGCATTTCTCTGTTTGCTGGCCGATGAACAAGTGCAGCGCGAGCTAGATGGAACGAAACGAAATAAAAAGATTTTTCAAGAGGTGTCTGCGCAGATGGCGGTGCAGGGCTCCATCGCACACCAAAGCAAAGAGGAAAGCTTAAAAAACTAATAGTTGATGGTGAGTGTATTTTATTTACTTTAAGCATATTTCCTTTTCCTCATGCAACCGTTTCTTTGCGTTTTCTGAAAGTACTCTGAACAAACGAGGCTGACGCGGTTACGTCGTCATTAGTTAGCATCATTGCTAACTGTACTCTGTTGCTGTTTTTCCACTCTTATTTTGATGCAGAAAGTCCCACTGAACATGAAGGTTCGCCAGATTCTGCTTTTGACTGTCCAATCCTCCCCGCTTCTGACCCTTCCCGACCACACCAGCTCCGAGTACATCTACGCCACCGGGCACATCCACGCCACCGGGCACATCCACGCCACCGGGCAACACGCAGCAGAGCGGCACCAAACAGCACCCGTTACTAGGTAAGAAGCAACAATCGTGTTTAACATCACATTGATCATGTCGATATGAATGTTGTTTTGTTTTTGTTGTAAAACACCTTGCATGTATTCAAACTACTTGTTTATTCAGTTGTAATGTATAAATGTTAAATTTCATTATTCATTTATTACTTAAACTTTCATTTATGAAGTTTATTATTGAAATTATACAGGGTGTAGTGATTTTTGTTCAGATTAACGATGCTCTGTTCTTTTTCTAAATTAGCACAAACCGTTGTAAATGACTACATGTAGTTTATTTATGCCCACCTGCTTACTATCATTAAAGTACTAGACTGCTTTATGAACAGAATCATTTCTGATCTTGTGAACAAACACCTTTTGAAATTAGCAATTAGCAGGAACTTTAATGTTAATAATTTATTAAAAAACTCTACCTGTACTTCATCATCTAACAGCCATTTTCTTGTGTGTTATTCCTAGGCAATAGAAAGCGCAGATCAACAAGTGCAGCAGAGAGCTTTGTTTCTGCACATACTGAACAAGAAGAGATGAACCGGAAGCAGAGAGAGGAACACTTCCATTTTATTTGTGAGGATGCCAAAAATGCAAGGCAAGAAGAAGCTGCGGAGAGGCAACGCCAAGCTGCAGCAGCGAGGAAGCAGGAGAAGGCCATTAGGAGGGAGGAGATGGCCTTGAGGAGAGAGGAAGCAGATGTTCGCAGAGAGGAAGTAGCACAGCGAAGGCAGGAGGCTGAACAGAGTGCTGCTTTCAATCAGGCACTCCTTGGGGTGCTGGAATCCATTGCCAGTTCCATGGCAAACAGACATGTTTAAAAATATTTATTGTAGAACTTAGTTTATATATAGAAATGTAGATCCTGCAAGGTAAGACCACAAATAGCCAGACATGTACCGTGTAAAGTTTTCATATGTAAGTAGTGTATAAATTTTTTTAATGTCTTTATTTCTAATAAAAAAAAAAATTTCAAGTCTTGAGCTTCCATCTGATCATCAAAGTGAAGTGCTTAGTGTTTTTTTACGTCAATAGTGTAGATAAGTGAAGTAATTGTTTTTTACCTGTAACAATGCAAGTGAAGATTCTCAGTTATCCTTGACACGGCAAATCTCCCCCAAAAAATATAAAAACAAAACCACAGTACTTTTTTTTTTAAACTGAATACGTTTCGCTAATCATCCGAGGAGCACTCACAATTCAATGAAAAAAGGAATATGGGATTAAAGTTATAAAGCTGTGGTGTTCTGTAAGCTTGCTGGAGATTGATCTGCATGCGTCAGTCTCCATAATACAAGCTTATGGCACAACACAGCTTTATAATTTGAATCACACTCCTCGTTTCATTAAATTGAGAAAGAGCCTCGGATGAGAAGTGATACATCTTCAGTTAAAAATAAAGTCCAGTATTTTTATTTATGTATTTTTTTTGGTTTTATCTGTAATGAGTACTGAAAAACGTAACCATAATACAGAATGTCCATGTGTTGTAAATGAACATTGCAGTGGAGTTAAAAAGGTGTAGGACTTGTGTAGTCTACGTTTACAATCATCCTCATTCAGGAGGTTTTCAGTCATTGCATGTCAAACACCTCGGCCATGATGTCTATCCTGTGGATCCAGCAGCTTCTGCATCTTTTTCGCCCAAGGTCAAAAATTCTCTCCACGACTTTCACTGTGGTACAAACGAGCACTAACTTAATATTACTTAACAGCACTTCAATCATGAAGATAATTTGCGACAGCTTAATTTAAACAGCTGCGTGGTAAGCGTAAGCTCTGAGTTAAATATCAAATGTAGGTTATTATGTAATGTACGTAATATATATATATACACATATATATATATATATATATATATATATATATATATACACATGCATACATATATACAAATCAAATTACAAAAAGACTCTTAATCCCAGAGGGAAATTAAATGTAACTCATCATCCTGGTTTCATTCAAGAGTTGTTCTAGATGCTGATGCTGTGGGCAGGAAGGATCTCTTGTAGCATCTGTCTTACAAGGGATCTGAAGAAGTCTCTGGCTGAAGACATATATATATAAATATTAAAATAGATTAATAAATATATGCATAAACAAATATAAAGTTCTTGTTGTAGGTTTTGGTTCTTTGTTAAAAACAAAAATTAATTTGTTTTCCGGCTCTTCTTCTTCTAATACATGTTAGTGGTGCTTAGAAAAGAGCTTAATGTAGCACTACCGCCACCAGCTGGTAAGGTGCGTTGATATTAATAATCCGCCCACTAGAGGTGAACAATCCGCCCACTAGAGGTGAACAATCCGCCCACTAAACGGGAACTATAGGCAAAGGTGAGACACAAAAATAGAGGTCCCACTAGAACCGGACACAACAGGCTACAACAAGAACCAGACCTGTGGATAAGGGGCTATAATGTCCCGACTGGCTGTTCTAATAGTTCTCAAAAGTACCTTACCGGTCATAAAGCACAGTGCATGATGAAAGAGGAAAGTCATCTTCCAAGCGAAGACAATGACTAGCCAAACAAGGGTAAATTTCTTAAGTTACTGTTACTCAGGCTTATAAAACAGTGGTGGGCGCAGTTCTGCTAATCTGCGAACAGCTAATAGTGGAACTCATTTTTTTTTGTTAAGCGGATTAGTGGTTTCACTAACTTTGGAAACTGTTAACAGAATTAGCTTCAGCTAAATTAGGTTTCTCCAACTCTAAGTACGCTACAAAATTCGTAAGTTTGTTCCAGTCGGTGGGCGTGTCTCAAAGAGTTCATAAGGCACCCTTAAGCTTGCTCAACGCAGCTTCAAGTGGAAGGAGATGATGTGTGACGCAGACTGACAGTCATCTTAGCGGTTTAGCGTTAGCATCCGCAAATTTTTTTTTTATCTGTTTAGCGTTAGCAAAGCTATTTTTTATTTAGTTCACGGCATGTGGCTTAGCAAAGCTACATTTTTGGATAGATGCCCACCAATGAGCAATTATTTAATTAAAGCAACATATTGGTACAAACGTTTAAATTAAATCTCTACACGGCACTGCATGTCACTTTTTTTAGTTTATAGCTGTTTTCTCAACTAAGCAATGTCTTGTGTTACTATGCTAATGTTTGCTGAGCACAGACCGTTATATGCCGATGGTACTGAGGCTGCTGAATGTACAAGTTCACATGTAGATGAGTAAACTGTTTTCTAATAAGAAAGATTGCATTTTCCTGCAATCCTTCTAAGCAAGCTATAGTTGTTTGATTATTTTCTAATTGTCTTGTCGTGATCTTTAACATTTTCTTTTTATACACCCCTCAGGGAATATGGAAGATGGATCCATCGTCTCTGAGCAGAAATTATTCACAGAACACCCATTACAAGAAGGAGCAGATGAATGTTTGTGGGTTCATAAAGTGCCTCACTGCTGTTGACAAAGAACAAGAAGACTGTTTAAATGTCCACAACTGTACAGCTAATAACCAAAACAAATTGCAATTTCACAATGAAAGATATTTTTATATAAGAGTTGCAGTTTTTTTTCCCCAAAAAACAATTGCCAGGATCAAAATGTAAAAAAATGATTCAACTGTTTCTTTGTTTTTTCCCTTTGGTTCTAATGGAGTAAAATTACTGTATAAAGCTGCAACATATTTGCAAGAAGTTAAAGATTTGCTTTAGTTTGGTGTCTGTATAAAAAGCACAAAATTGTGATCTACATGTAGTTTTTGATGATTAGCCAAATTAAACGTTTAATTCAGTTTTAGGGAGAAAAAAATTGTGATTTTGTCTAATTGATACTGTTTTGTTAATGTCTGGATTTTTTTTCCTCAAAGTTTTGCTTAAATCTGTTGTCCATCTTTGACCAAGTTATATGTTTATTATGCAACATAAATTATTGGAAAGTACATACAGTATTTTGTCTTATATTTTTACTCTTGTCTTTCAATGTTCTCTTTATTAACCTGTACTAGAGGATAAATTACAGTACTCTTAATGTTCATCTACACAGTACTTTAGTCTCGATTTGCTTTATTTTGTACTCCTTTTGTCCAGTTAAGACATACTTTGCACAGTCTGTTTATTCAGATACAAGAACAAAAACTGAGTTATAAAGTATGTGCATGGGTTTATCTTTTATAATTACATATGGCACTTTTATTTTCCAAAAACCCACAAGTATTGTACCTGTTTGTGGGAGTTTGATAAAACCACCCTGAATTCAAAAGTGGCGCAAAACATTACGGATACATATGTGAAGCCATGAAACTTTATTTGGGGAATCCTGTGATTTTTCGCCTGGTGAAGCAAGGCATCAAAACATCTTGCTGCAGTACTTATGCTTTGAAAAATTGATGCTGTATTGAGCCGTCTGCTTCAAGCAAAACATTTTTTAGACCTAACGAGGCCTCGCAATAGTCGTTATTTTAGGCAGACTGACGCAATGGTCAAAACGTTTCATGACACTTGCACTTCATGTACTTGAAACGGTGACAGCAGGAGGTGTTGAATGTAACATCACTGGTTTTGAGTTTTGTTTCTTGTGGGAGGACCCATGACCTGCAACTGAGACCAGGATTTCTGACACTGGCAGTACATTTCACTACAGAATACTGTGAGACAGTGGGCACAGTTCTGCTAATCCACTAACGGCTAATAGCGGAGCAAATCTTTTTCTTTAGCAGGTTAGCGTTGTCACTAACTTTGGCAACCATTAATTCAGTTCAGTTTATTTCTATAGTGCCAAGTCACAACAGAGGTTGTCTCAGGGCACAGTACAAAAACGTATGCATAAATAAAGCCATTTAGTAAAAGTTCTCTTTCTAAGGAAGCCAGCAGATTGTGTTGAATCTTCACTTCATTGTAGTCTCCCATCCTGAGTAAGCACAAAGGTGACAGTGGGAAGGAAAAACTCCCTTTTAATAGGAAGAAACCTGCAGCAGAACCTGGCTCAGGACGAGCGGCCATCTGCTTCGAATGGCTGGGTTTGAGAAAACAGGAAGGAGAAACAGATTAACACAGAATGGCAGGTCCAAGTGTACCCCCTATTGAAAGAAAGACAAAAAACACATCAAGGATATTACAAATACAAAACAGGTGGAATAGCGCAAGCAAAGAGAGGAGCATTGTGAAGAAATATAAGTTTGTCCTCTAGTAGTCTAAAGCCCCCATTATACTCCCGTGTACGTTTATACGCAGAGGTACGCACGTACTTACGCGGAGGTACGAACGTACCCTCCAGGGCATGTCCATGCAAAGCTCAAATTTTTACGACCGCATACACATACGCGGTGTCGCACAATTAAACTGCCCAGCGACGGACCATTTTGTATGCAACATCAATGTATTAAATTCCCCTTCTTCATCCCTGATCTGGCCTTTTCTTTTGTTTGTTTTTTTGCCAAGAGGCAGTGATCTCTTCCTCCTCCGTTGATGCCATGACTGAAATGGTGAGAAATGAAGGAGCGAGCGAATTAAACTCAGGTCCAGCGTGGCTGCGGGAGGGTCTGGAGATTTCCTGGTGGGCTGGTTTGATGTGTGGGCTGCAGAGCCAGCGCTCCCGTTTTTTTTTTTTTTTTTTTTTAGATCTTTTTATTTACAACATATAAACACAGAACACCGCTGTGGCTGAGGCTGCCAGTGCTTTTTTTTTTCCCAACCTGTCAATTAATCCAGTAGGCGTGTCAGCAAATGACCAATCGGCAACCTCAATTTGTCCCGAAGGTAAACGCCCCTTGTCTGTGAAGCTGCTCTGCAGCTGCTCAGGGTGTACGCTCAAGTACAAAGTCTGAACCCTCTGTGTACAGTACACGCATACGTACACGTGAATGGATGTACGCGGGAGTTTACTGGGGGCTTAAATCTATAGCAGCAGAACTAAGGGATAGCTCATAATTAGTGGAATTAGTTTCCGCTAAATTAGATTTTGCCAACTTGAAGTCCATTAACCAAATACACAAGCTTGTTCCTGTCTGTTGTGGGTGGTATCTCGAAGAATCCATTAGGCATTCTCTTGGCTTACTACATGTACACGTGACGAGACGTGATTGATCCATGCATCTTCAACGGGAAGGGGACGCAGACATTTCATCTTTCATCCAGAAGACTTCATCAGTCTGAGGCCTGCCAACCCAGATCTGTCTTATAAAGAATCTGTCCAGATGACATGATTTAACCTTTTTTGTTGTTATCTACCTAGATGATTGAGCTTACAACCCTTTTTTTAACCATTTTGGCCAGGTGTCCTCAGGCTGTTTCTGTAAGTAGCAAATTGGCCATCTGGCCTAAAACATTTGATTTTTATATATGATGATAAATTTTAGTTTTGGACGGGTGGTACTCTTTTTGCATGTATAAAGTCAGTTTCTGGAAATTCTACAGAGGGTTGGCTTTAAACATCAAGGAGGTGCTATTTATTATCAATTTTTCTGTGTGGTGACTTTAATATTGATTTAGGAATAAAAAAAGATTCTAACAACGTCGGTACATTTATAGAATCAATGCATTCGTTAAATCTTTACCCATTAATTACAAAGCCAACAAGAATCACGTCTCACAGTGCAACTATAATTGACAATATTTTTACAAATACAACAAATGGGAATGTGACTGGTGGTATTTTAATGAGTGATCTTAGTGATCATTTACCAGTGTTTACAATTTACAAGAAGTATCAAACAACCAAAAAAATAATTCCAAGTATAACTAAAATAATAAATACATCTAAGAAAGCATTGGATAAACTGAAAGATGACTTAGCGGAACAAAACTGGGATAGTGTTTATGTTGATGATGTAAATGAATCATATGATGCGTTTATGAATATCTTTGAAGCTTTATATAAAAAAAATTGTGTAACAAAAAACCACACTAAGAAGAAAGTTGTTGACCAGCAATGGATGACGAAGGGTTTGAGATATGCTTGTAAAAAGAAAAACTATTTGTATGCATGTTTCCTAAAATGTAGAACAAAAGAAGCAGAAGATAAATATAAGAAGTATAAAAACAAATTAGCCGGGATTATAAGAAAACATAAGAAAGAATATTATAGTGATTTATTGAATAAAAGTAAAGGAGACATCAAGGCAACATGGCGGGTAGTGAATAATGTTTTACAAAAAAATATAAGAAAAACAGGCATTTCACAAAACTTTACAATAGACAACAAGAATGTATGTGATGAAAATGTAATTGCTAATGGATTTAATCAATACTTTGTGAACGTTGGATCCAGCCTTGCTGCAACGATACCTAAAGTGGATAACAATGTGAACTATTTAATTGATGATTATCTTGCAAGTATGTTCCTGACTGGAACTGACAAATATGAAATAATGACTGTAGTCAATAAATTTGTAGACAAAAGATCAAAGGATTGGATGGATATGGACATGATGTTTGTAAAACACATATTGGGTCATGTAATCGAACCATTTACATATGTATGTAATTTATCTTTTACTAAGGGAGTATTTCCTGATAGAATGAAGGTGGCTAAAGTGGTTCCTCTTTTTAAAGGTGGTGACAAATGTGTGTTTAATAACTATCGACCGATATCCTTGTTACCACAGTTTTCTAAGATCTTGGAGAAATTATTTAGTAACAGATTAGACCAATTTATTGAAAGGCAAAATATTCTAACTAATAGCCAATATGGTTTTAGAGAAAAAAATTCCACATCCATGGCGCTAGTAGACTTTATGGAACAAGTAACAACTGCTGTGGATCGAAAACAGTATTGTGTGAGTGTGTTTGTGGACTTAAAAAAGGCATTTGATACTGTCGATCATAACATTCTTTTTGAAAAATTATACAAATACGGTATCAGAGGATTGGCTCTGCAGTGGGTGTGCAGTTACTTAAAAAACAGGAACCAATTTGTGCAGATAAATGATGTGAGATCGGATTACTGCACCATTACATGTGGAGTTCCTCAAGGATCTGTAATTGGTCCAAAGTTGTTCATCTTGTATGTGAATGATTTGGTTAAGGTGTCCAGCCTCCTTAAATGCGTTCTTTTTGCGGATGACACAACTTTTTTTTGTTCTGGTAAGAATATTGAACAGTTATTGGAATTAATGATGATTGAGCTTTGTAAAATTCAAAGTTGGTTTAGACTAAACAAAGTATCGTTAAATTTGGATAAGACTAACTATATGATATTTAGCAATAAAAATAAAAATATTGATGTTTCATTCAAGATTGAAGATTCTGAAATCTGTAGAGTATATGAGGCGAAGTTTTTGGGTGTCATCATTGATGATAAATTATCATGGAAGCAACATATAAATTCTGTTAAAATGAAAATATTAAAATCTATTGCAATATTTTATAGAGTTAAGTATCTACTGAATGACAAAGCATTGTATTTGATGTATAATACAATTGTTGTGCCAC